AAAAATGTACAGTGGCACCTGTGAGACAACAACAAAAGGTCTGAATTTGTGTGATCAGAATCTCAGGAGGGAAAAAATGTGGAGCAGGAAAAAATAATTTTAAAAAAGCTCCCAATTTTTGTGAAAGACATAATCTTATCTTAATAGACTGAAAAAACTTAGTAAACCCCAAACAGGTTATATTCAAAGAAATCCATCCTCACATTCATCATAATCAAATTGCAAAAAACCCAGATAAACAGCCAGAGATAATGAACATATTTCACTTAAGGGACAATGATTTGAATGACTGTGGATTTCTCGTCAGACACCATGCAGGTAAAAGAAGGTAAAATAACATTTTTAAAATGCTAGGAACAAAATAAAAGAATAATTTTCACCCAGAATTCTATATACACAAATGCCATTCAAAAATGCCATTCAGAAATAAAGGTGAAATTTCAGATACGTTTTCAGATACAGGAAAAATAAGATTTTTTCTCTTTTAGATGAGTTTTACTCTGTCACCCAGGCTTGAGTGCCATGGCCTCAGCATAACTCACAGCAACCTCAAACTCCTGGGCTCAAGTGATCCTCCTGCCTCAACCTCCCAAGTAGCTGGGACTACAGGTGCATGTCAGTATGCCCAGCTAATTTTTCTGTTTTTTTATAGAGACGGGGTCAGGATTATCTCAAACTCTTGGCTTCAAGAAATCATCGTGTCTTGGCCTTCCAGAGTGCTAGGATTCCAGTGATAATTCACTTCTAACAGCTCTGTTCTAAAAGAAATTCTACAAGAATCTCCTCAGAAGGAAAGGAAATGATACAAAAGGGAAAATTACAATATCAGGATTAAAAGAAGAACAATAGGTCTGGTAAATAAATATTTGGATAAATATTATAGATCCATTTTTTTCTCTTAAGTTCTTACATATGTATGACAAATGAAAATGGTCACGTCTTATATAAATATATGAGAACACAATCAAAAGTGGGGAGGTGAGTAAGGTTTGCAAAAATATTAATCTTAGACTATGAAAAGTTAAATATGTTCACTGAATCTCAAGAGCAACCAGTAAAAAAACACTTTACCAAGAGTTACACATACAACAAAAAATCTCAATAAAAATTGTAAGAGGGAATACCAAAAAAAAAAAAAAAAAAAATCCCGTAAGAAGACAAGAAAGGAGAAACAGTGGAATGAAAAACAGAAGGAACAAACAAAAAGCAAATAATAAAATGGTAGCCATACATCTAAACATATCAATATTTCCATTAAATGCAAATGCTTACACCAATTAAAAGAGAGATGTTTTGAGAGGATAAAAGAAGACTCAAATATAGTATATGCTATCTACAAGATACCTATTTCAAATATTATATACATTGGCTAAGAGGAAAAGGATGACAAAAAGATATAAAAACACTAATCAAATGAAAATCAATCAAAAACCCTACAAGAATTTTTTTTTTTTTTTGGTAGATACAGAGAAAGGTGCAAATGCAATTCAATGAAGGATAATCTTTGGTGCGAGAACAATTTGACATCTATGTGCCAAACAAAACAAAACAAAACTGTAAAACTCTGAGAAGAAAAGATGAGAAAACCTTTATGTTTTGGCGATAGGCAAAGAATTATTAAATATGATAACAAAAGTATGAGCCATAGAAAGAAAAAAAATAAACAAATTTCACTAAAATAAAAACTTCTATTCTTCAGAATACACTTGTAAGAGAATAAAAAGATACAAACAGGGAGAGAATATTTACAAATCACTTACAGTAGAAACTCCACAGCTGACCACCTCTCTACACTGACCCCTCCTTAAGCTGACCTGTTTACACAGACTGAACATGCATCACATGTTCTGATTGCCTCTGTATGTTGACCGGTTTGTTACAGTACCTTAGGTCAACTTAAAGAGGTTCTACTGTATTTGACAGATGATTTCTGTCTAGAATATATAAAGAACTTTAAAAAAATTAAAAACCAGGAAACTCAATCCCACCCCTAGATAGAAAGACATATGTACAATCTGTACCATGAATATTTATAGCAGCTCTAGTCACTGATGCCCCAAACTGCAAAGAACTCCAGTGTCCTTCAGCGAGGGAGTGGTAAACTAACCACAGTAAGTCCACACTAAGGACACTGAGGACTGACAGCAAGAGTGGACTGCTAACACACATGACAGCTGGGGCAGGCCTGAAAGGCGTCATGCTGAGTGAGTGAGAGACTTCAGCATCACAAGGGCGCATGCTTTATGATTCCATGTACCGCATACGGCATTCTAGCATGGCAAAGCCATGATGATGAAGACAGATGAGCCTAACTCCAAGGCTAGGTTTGAAGGACAGAGTGACCACACAGGAGCAGCACAGGGATCATGAACCATTCGTCCCTAATGGTGGTAGTTATACAAATGCACATACTGTTACAAATTCACAGACCTGTATTACTCCCTCCTGCAATAAGGTAAACCTTATTGCATGTTTCAAGTAAAAAATAAAATAACAGGTGCTCAATAAGTACAATCTTCCTTCTTTTTAAAAGTGCCCATTTAGAGAGCTTTTATATGAGGATGATCCATCACTTTGGAGGAAAAAAATCTCTACCGTTAAATCATTCATGTCCTTTGACATAGTAATTTCACTTCTAAGAGTCCACCCTAATAATTAAAATTCTACTCTCTCTATAAAAAAACTACATACACAAAAGCATTTGTTGAAACTCATAATTGTATTATAGCTAAAAATTAGATATCATATTAAATGCCTATTAATAGTTCTATTCACCATTATTATTAAATTATAGTGTATGTGCCTACTAAAATATTTACAAATAGTAAAAACAGAAGAAAATGGTTTTATGATAGGGCTGTACTTACATTTATTCTTTCAACTTTGTAAAACATATGCATTTTTAATATATTTGTTTATGAACAATAGGACCATATTTTTTCTATTTTTAAACAATAATTTCTTATTCTGTAGTAAACACATACTACTTTAATTTAATTTTATTTTTTGAAACAAAGTCTCACTCTGCCATCCTGGGTAGAGTGCTGTGGTGTCACAGCTCACAGCAACCTCAAACTCCTGGGCGCAAGAGAAGCCTCCTGAGTAGCAAAGGCACCCTCCAAAACACCTGGTTAGTTTTTCTATTTTTAGGGTCTTGCTCTTGCTCAGGCTGGTCTCAAACTCCTGAGCTCAGATGATCTACCTGCCATGGCCTCTCAGAGTGCTAGGATTATGGCTGTGAGCCACCACGCCTGACCAATTACTACCTTTAAAATTAAAAACTTATTTAAAAAACTGACACCAATAAGCAAGATTTATGCTGAGATCTTTGTTAGTAAAAAATATCAACAAAACTCTGTGGGCCAGACTGTTCGCTACCATGTCATATGTGGTATTTAATGCAATAGTAAGAGTCTAGAAACAACAAAAATTTCCAAAAAATGGAATATTTGTTAAATTTGTTAAATTATACATCTAATAATTTAAATTATACATCAAATGTGATCACAATAAATACATTCTATTACTTACATGGAGCCTATGATATGTTAGGTAAAAAACAACCCCCATCCCAAAATAAAACTGCACAGGAAGCAAGATATTATCAAGCTACACAAAATACAATGTGTGTTTATAAATAAATAATTTGTGTTAAAGATGAATGGAATCCAGAAGTTTGTCAAAATGTTAACAGTGGTATCCTTCAAAGAGAGATGATACTATCTTTACACTTTTCAGTATTGTAAGTTTCCATAAGGATCATACAATATTTCTATCATATCATTCTTGGAAAATTTTGGACCCAATTTTTATTAAATAAATGATGAATGGATGGCTCTATGCAGAATTAATGGCGTCCTTATCCTAGCTCCCAGAACACTCGGCTATACTGTCAGTTAGATTTAATAGGTGCTCAATAAATACTAGCTTCCTTCTCAGTTTACATGCACTGGGGCTCTATGGTGTCTGACAATTACAAGGTACTGGTGGAAAGGAACACAGCCCATCACACTAGCCACCTGTACACTTATCTATGTATATGTACAAATAGATTGTGGTCTACTTGAATTTGGAACTGAGTCTCATGCATCTTTTTATTGACAAGGCCTAATATAAGCTATAACATAGCAGATATTAGGCAAATGTTTTTGAGGTTGAATTTTTAAAAATTCACAAAAATGACAATTTGGGGATGTTAATGACCCCTAATATTTCATTTCAGAATAGAATGGTTAAATATTACTCTTACAGCACACCTGTATCCATCAAAATTTAGGCTCTAAGCAGCAAAAACACCACAGTATTATGTTCTTAGCAAGGGATCATTTAACTTCAGGATTTGTAAAGACTGAAGTCTTTTTTTTTAAAAAAAGAAATCATGAAATAAGTCTTTCTTCTTCCAGCTCCAGACAATTCCAAGCATTTCTTGGACAGGAGAAATGTTCAACACCATGCCACTGAAGGAGTCATTTATTCTTGACCTTAATTACAAATAATTTTATGTTTTCAAGTATAGAATTCACAATTCTCTTATTTTATCTCAGCTAGCATAAACTGTAGGTGTTTTTCTTATTTATAAGAATGTCTTATCCTTTATAAAAATCCTTAAGCTATTTTTATATAGTGATTATTCCTGAAAACATTTGCTTTACACTTAAAAGGGGGCCATGATGTTGATAGGGGAACTATAATTGCTTGCCATACACCTGCAATGATTTCAAGTAGGCAGGCACATCTCCAATTTTTCTGAATTGTACTAAGATCTTATTTGCTGTTCTTGCTAATCTGTCTTTATTTTTCCTTTACCCAGAACAATAACATTTATTTCTGCCTGGCCTCATTTATGCATAGATATTCAATTTAATTACAAAGATAATCTCACTGGTGACAGGGAAATAGGTGTAGAAAATTGGTCTTTTGGATGAGGCACAGCTGCTACAGAAACAATTTTAGAAAAGCTTAAGATTTTAGAAAAGCTATTATATGAAAAGAATGCTTACTGTTTGTTTATTTCAAGAAAACGATGAAGATTAAATGTGACCATTCCACTAGGTAATATTCCTTCCACAGGATTCCACCGGTCCCCCGGGAAGCTGACACCTGGTAAATGCTTTGCCATCTTGGGTAAATACCACTCGTAAGTCATCATCTGCCAGAAAAGTCACATCTGATGTCAGACTTTTAATATGCTGCTTGAAAAGAATCAAGTTTATCAAGTACAATGAAAATGTTCTGAAATGTGAACACACAACTGAAAAGCAAGCACAGCTGAGACACATGGCACTGACCACTCTCCCAACGACTTACACCTTGGAGTTTAAGTGGTAAGATGTGACCAGCATCAGAGGGATCGGTACATAGTTTCATCTTACCCCAGGTGTTTGACCAACCACGCAGCATGAACTTCTCCATCCTCATACCTGTAGAATGTGTCCTCAACTGTCAGACCAGGGAAGTTATCACTTCCTGTGTGATGTCCTCCCGTGTCGCTACAGCCAGAATGACATGCTCTTACAGCACATCATACCTACCTCTCCTACAGCTCTAGGCCTATCCCCCACTAGACTGTAAGCCCTTAGAGGGAGAAGCTGTATCTTTCATCTTTGCATCTCTGCACTTAGCACACTGCCTGGCTGTTCTATGAACAGTTCTCAAATCATATTTGACAAAGTTAAAATTTCTGTGATGGCCAGATTAGACAACCTACACAAAATACAGAAATGTATATTATTCCATTCTTTCACTCATTCAAAAGAGCAGGTATTGCTCACCTATAATGAATAAGATATAATCCTTGCTCTTGAGAAACTCAATCATATAATAATCTAGGCCTCAAAGTTAAAATCGCTTTTGGCTAAATTATATAAATTTATTAGTAGCCCCAAAGTAACTACATATCTCTACCTGCTCTTTTGATTTAACTAATTTATCAATATTAGAAAAATTATTTTTCTTAATTTTATATTTTGTTCTGTTTTGTTTGAGATAGGGTCTCACTCTGTCACCTGGGCTAGAGGACAGTGGTTTCAGCATAGCTCACTGCAGCCCAAACTTCTGGGCTCAAGTAGTCTCCCTACCTGAGCCACCATGATAGCTAGGACATTAGGTGTGTGCTACCATGCCCAGCTAATTTTTCTATTTTTTGCAGAAATGAAGGCTTGCTCTTGCTCAGGCTGGTCTCGAACACCTGGCCTCAAGTGATCCACCGCCTCCTCCTCTTAGAGTGCTAACATTCTAGGCATGAGCCACCACACCTGGCCAACTACATTTAATGTATACTTAATTCTATATTTTTATATGTACAGAGCCCTTCTTTTAAAAGAAAAGAATCCTATTTACACTTTTAAAGTTTCATTAGACATCATCATTTGAGCAACTGCTGACATTTTACTTACCTTATATAAGCCATTTAACTAGCAAATAACAAATTAATTTTAATCTAAGTATAAATTATAAATATTAAAAAAAACTTACTGAATTATATTTTATTACCCAATAGTTTCAGTTCTTAGGGGAATGAACATTAATTACATGCCCACTGTGTGCTCTGACCTTATTCCTCCTCATCCACTTCTCATAATGACCTGGCAAATAAGAACAGTTGTATCAGATCAGTCTTGACTCTGACCAGGCAGCTCAGGGTGGCAGTGTGCTCAGGCCCAGTCATGTGCCTTTGGTAGTGAGCAGTTCAGGAGGGAACTAAGTGGAGGTCTGCTGGGGACTTCTGGGGCATGTTATTCCCAATAAACAGAAGGGGAAAGACAGGGATACACCCTGGAAGAAGCACCTCGCTTTGTTTTAGGATGCGATGCCTAGAGCTGAGCACCTATCTAGAGAGTGTGAGGGGAAAGTCCAGAGAGCTGCAGTGGAGCAGCGCAAGGCCCAGCTGGCACCCCCCTGCTTCTGCTGCCAAGGCTGAGCTCTCCTGTCTGCAGACCACTAGTCAGGGGAGACAAAACGCAATGATTTAAGCTGCTCTTACTCAGGTATTCTGTCTCTTGCATGCTAACTTATATACAATGATGACTTCCATTTTAAAAATAAGGAAAAGAAGAAGCTCTGAGAGGAAAACTTGTCAGTCCCATGTCAAACATATAGGAAGTGACAGATGAGGATGTTAGTTTAGTCTGATTCACTTTCAGACTTAGGTTTCTCAGCTACTGTAAATATGGTCCTAAACCATGTTATTAACAAATAACCTAGGCTTTGCCAAAAACTAGAATGAAGATCAAACTAATCAATCGCTACTTATAAAAATACGCACAATTTGCAAATTTGCCTATTATTTGCAAATCTCTTTATAAAGTTTTCTCCAAAAACAAAATTATTCACTAATTCTACACAATTTATTAAGAACCATACTTAATAATTTGTTCAACTGAATTAATCATATTCGTTTCAAGATGAAGAATTTCTCTTTTCCTGATGAGTACCCTAAAAACACCAGAGACAGATTTCTTACCTTTAAAACACCAGAGATGATTTAAACAATAAATCTTACAGTTTAAACATAGTTCTTCACTTCTGGAAAATTGCTTTAATGGCCCTCAAAATTTTCAGAAGTCTTCTCCTAACATATTTTTGTCATAGAATCAATAAAGTTTATACAAAAATTTGATAGCAGACTTGCAGTTAATAATTTTTATTTTGACTGAAATGTTTCCTTACGCATAGTATGATATGTTTTATATTCAATCTAATTGATTTTAATCCCTGGATCAGTGGATATTATTAATTTGAATGGTTGAATTGGCTGAACATAAAAGAATAATTTAGAAGTAAATTTACAAGGGGCACCTGTGGTTCAGTGGGTAGGGCGCCGGCCCCATATACCAAGGGTGATGGGTTCAAACCTGGCTCCCACCAAACTGCAACAAAAAATAGCCAGGTGTTGTGGCAGGCGCCTGTAGTCTCAACTACTCAGGAGGCTGAGGCAAAAGAATTGCCTAAAGCTCAGGAGTTGGAGATTGCTGTGAGCTGTGATACCATAGCACTCTACTGAGGGCAATAGAGTGAGCCTCTGTCTCTAAAAAACAAAAAATAATAAAATAAAAATAAATTTATGGTATAATAAACATTTTTAAGGTTTGTCACATGAACTAGAGCCCTAAAATATTATTTGAATCTAACATAAGGCACATTAATTCTTTTTTGTTTTTTGAGACAGAGTCTAAAGCGGTCATCTTGCGGTAGAGTGCTGTGGCCTCACAGCTCACAGCAACCTCAAACTCTTGGGTTTAAGGGATTCTTTTGCTTCAGCCTCCCAAGTAGCTGGGACTACAGGCACCTGCCCAACACCTGGCTATTTTTTGGTTGTAGTTGTCATTGTTGTTTGGCAGGCCCAGGCTGGATACAAACCCGCCAGATCTGGTGTATATGGCTGGCGCCTTAGCTGCTTGAGCTATGGGTGCTGATTCTTAAAACATTCCATTTAAATGAGAAAGATGCAATTCAGATGACTCATACTATTAGTTAAAACAAACAGAAGACCACAAAGAAAGATGGAGACCTTGCCTCCTTCATGTTTACATGGATGGAGCTGGAAAATGTCCTCCTTAGCAAAGTATGTCAAGAATGGAAGAAAAAGTATCCAATGTACTCAACACTATTATGAAACTAATTGTTAGCTATCTTAGGAAAGCTACAATCCAAATGGAGCCCTAGACTACGGGGAAAGGGGAGGGAGGAGGATGGGTGAAGAGAATGATATTGTGAGGATCACGCCTATAATTTATCCTATTAGGGTACATGTGAATTTGTTTAAAGGTTGAATATAAATGTCTTTTTTTTTTTTTT